CTTTTACATGTGAGTGCTTGAAGGGATATTCCAGACCCAAAGTAGACCACAGACATCACTTTAAAAGCAACTACTTTAGACACCTTAGCACTAGCCACCAGGAACCTGCAACTGGATAAGCCCAAGGGTCCTATGGGTAACAGACAACTGCCGCTGTAGTAAGAACAGACTATTGCCGTTTTCTTAATTAGTGCCAAGTTTCCCAGCTCTGTAACTTAAGCCTTCGGCTCTACATGCTTCAGGCTTACAATTATACTTGAATCACAAGTATAATCTATCCTGATCTCCGTCCTCCTTACACAAATCACTTCTATTTTGTGATGCCTAACTTAAATACTCATCCTTCCAGCAATGTGTACTTTTTCCAGGACTTTGTACATTCAGGGTTCACTTTTGATATCTTTACTATGATATTTCTCTTCAGTTCTGTAGTGAACGTAGTTGTGTAGACATGCTTATGGTAAAGGGCATTGTTAACAAAATAATCAAGCTTTCTTTTGTGATAAATTTTCCAGTGTGTAGTGAAGCACTAACTGATCTTGATCTGATATGTTCTGTTAAACAGGTATATTTTGTCTACTTATTAATTGTTATCCATTTACTTAGAGCACCAGTTCCCTTAGGCTGATCATTTAGATACACTGCATCACACATGAAGCACAAGGAAGTCACTTAGTGTTGAATCTCTGGTAATATATGAGCACATGTGAAAGGTTAAAGCACATCTGGTGCCCCAGGTGCCCTCAAGTTCAGTAACACACAACTTCACAGTTTAAGGAAGAAACTCAAGAACATTGACAAAGCCACTCCCCAATCCTGTCCCTTGAAAGGTAAACTCAAACAAAAACTTCTATTAATAGTCCCAAGAAAAACTAATTGCCCTTTCTACCTCAATGTTTCCTTTTTTAAATTTTTGAGTATATTCATTGTGGGGTCTTGGTACCTACAGCATCCAGATCCTTTGTATTTGCCTTGCCTCTCCTTCATGAAGTAGTGAACACGATTAGCATGGACTTTATTTTCTTCCCTGACCTTCTTCCGGAACATCTCAAATTCATGACCAGTTTATTGCCCCCAGTGACTCTGAGCTTCTGTAATAAGGGCCTGGAATTGCTCATGCACATGTTTTTATACTGCCTATGTTACGTGGCACAGCAAAACAGTCAATAAATTTGAGCTAAATGAGTAGTTAATGATAGTAGATAGATTTCTGTTGAATCACAAGTATAATGCTGTAGATTTCCTTTAAATGTATTTTATCCAAGCTCTAAGTATCTTCCATTTCCACGAGAATTATCATGCCACAGACAGAAAACAAACAGCCATGTGCTCATGGATAGGGAAGAGAATCATATACCTATTTTTTGATTGTAGGTACGCAAAATAGAGAAATAGAGAAGAGCAACTGTGTGCAAAGCACATAACTACTCCGTTTGTTAGTTACCTCATCTATAAATTGTGAGCAAATTCTTGTCTACCTCACAGAGTTGCTGTGAAGATTAAATTAGTTCATGTAAAAGTATCTAGTGTATGCTTCATATAAATATTCTTTAGGTGCTATCTAATAATTTTAACCCTTCTGATTTACAAAGACAAAAGGACACTTGGAGTTTGTTCATTCATAAGCATTCAGTTCTGGAGAACAAAACCAGAATATAAAGTACAGAGGGAAAGTAAGATGCACTGTTTGAAGTGAGCCACATGTATATGCTATGCATGAGTGTAAAATAAGCTGATTAACAAAGTAGCTTAGTAGAATAATTGAAATAGGATTAGCATCATAGGCTCCTATTCAGGTTCTTGTTAGTAGTTTTGTTTTTTTTTTTTTTTGTTTTTGTTTTTGTTTTTCTTCGGTACCGGGAACTGAACTCACGACCTTGCGCTTGCCAGGCAGGCGCTTTTGCCGCTGAGCTAAATCCCCAGCCCCTTCTTGTTAGTAGTTTGAACCTGAGCTTGGACAGCTACGCTGAGTGAGGCATTCATGGAAAAACATGAATGTCTCTTTATCCAAATCAATTGATAGAAGAATTCTGTTTGAGTCATGATCTGAGGGTTGATAAATGGCCCTTAATAGTTGGAACACAAGGTCTGTGACATCTGAATTTCTGTTGACACTAGAGTGTACAATTTTAATTATACATGTCAATTAATCAAAAACTGTCCAAAATGATCATGTTTCTGTCCTTATCACATCAAAATGTTACTCTTGACATTTCACTGTGATTGATGAAAGGCGAGAAAACAAGGAAAGTGTCCTTTAAGCTTCTCAGATAGCCATGTGACAATGAAACTCAAATTTGGAGGAAGCAACCCAATATTAAGAAACACATTGAGAGATGGAAAACTGTGCTTGAAAAATAGAATAAAGATGTAGGACAAACTAACTATGGTGGTAAGAACTATTGTCTCTGAGTGTATTCGACTGAACCACACCAAACTGTCACAACCACACCATTTTTAATTTCTTGAAATGGCAATTCATGCTTGTCAGACTAACAGAAATTAGGCTTTGTTAAAAGATTACAGTTCTTTTGAAAAAACACTGGCTTAGTTGATATTTTACATAATTTATGTATTTATAATGATGAAATATCATTGTTTTTATTGGAAGAATAAGGAAACAATATCTATGAAAGAAAAGGAAAATGGAAAGCGAACATGGAAAAATCACCATTTCCTCCTCTTAACAGGAAGAAAAACTTAGAAAGACACATGAAATCACCAAGGAGAAGCTAGAGAGGAGGCACTGATCAGAGAAAGATGCTATGATTTAGAAGGGATGAAATGTCAAGGTTGTAATGCAAGTGGAAACAGACATCTTTAAAAAGTAATTCGGAAGAAGCAACACAAGTTAGCCCCACCTGACAAGACAGAGAGCAAAGACAAGAGAAGAACTCTGAATGTTTCACTTACCCTAAGTGTTAGGGAGCCCAAGAACATGGTGGAAATCTGACAGATGAGTTAAACATCTTGCTCAGAACTCTACTGTGCATTATCCACTCTCATCAGGTCTTTTAAGGAATGTATATAATCAGAATAAATTCAACAGAAATGGAAGCAGGACAGTACATTAAGAAGTTAATCGAGTTTGGAGGGAAACTGTGAAGCAGGTTGTGTCATGAAAATGAAGACTCTCAACTGTATATAAAAGGTTCATTTGAGTTTATGCATACAAAAAGGGCCCCTTGATCATCCTGAAAATACTTCTGACTTTGGTCAAGACCTGTGTTAAGTAATAAACCACTTCACTGTATTTCTCTATATTCTCTTTGGTCTCATCCACCCCTGCAGATTGGAAATCAATGCCACAAATCACCCTGGACCTGGTGGAGGAAAACACTGATACTCCCCTTCTTGGTGTTCTATGGAGGGAGGTAGCAATGAGGACTTGGGTAAAAACAGTATCTTTATCAGAACATGTATTGGGAAGCCCTACAGTTTTATATTCATAGCTGAATTTTTAGGGTGGGGAAATCTACAGAACTACTGAGGGTGGAAGACTCATTATAATCCAAATCCAAATAGAGTTAGGGCTATGAAGGAAGTAATAGAAATCCAAACTCTAAATGCATTCCAATGGGAGTAAAAAGAGTAAGTAACTGAATGGAGCTGGCAGATAAATTTTAGAAAACACGAGAAAGTTGGATATTTGTAAAGAAAATATGTATGATAAGGAGTATAAAAATGTATTCATGGGCTGGGGATGTAGCTCAGTGGCACAGCACCTGCCTGGCAAGCGTGAGGCCCTGAGTTCAACTTCCATTAGCAAAAGAAAGAAGAGATTCACATTTAAAACTTAAAAGGAGAGAGTTACATTTAAGGGAGTGCTGTAAATTAGTGACTGCAGGTATAATTTTAGGACTCTTCTGTACATCAATAGGCTGTATTTTCTCCTTTGTGAGCCCCAACCAACTAATTGTATCTTCCTTGAACCTTTAGATTTAGGAATCCCAATCTATACTTGAGCTCAGCTGGAAAGGTCTGTGGTCAATCAACAGTGCCAACCATGCTTTCTAGAAGTTAGTGCACCATGAAGGGCGACCATCTGTCCTCACAGACAGAATTACAGATGGTACTGAAAGGAAGGGCAAGGCAGTGGAGTTGGAGTTACTTGTATACAAGCACTAAGGATTGCCCTGAGCCAGGTGTAAAAAGAAGCTGGGCTAGACCACAAATACAGATTTGGAAAGAAACTCAAGGAAGTACAGTATCGTAGGAACCAGGGAAAAAGAAAAAGCCATGATGGATGAAGACTGGTATCAACATCATTGTACTCCACAAAGCCACAAGTAGGAGGGTGGGGGCAAGTCCTAGGAAAGGCAAAGACGAGCTTAACCCCTTGGGAAAGACTTTTTTCAGGAAAAGATAAAGTGAATGACAGTGAGGAATCAAAGTTAACTTTTCTGTATCAGAAAATTAAGGAGTTAGTAAATCACCTCTCAGCCTTTGCTTTCTGGGATAATCTATCACTGCATATTATTAAAATAAGATTACTGATTTCATTAACACAAACCTAATGAGAAAAAAGTACTCTAAATTTTAGTTGATTAAATAAGAGTATTTGAATATGTTTCTTGAAAGCAATTGTTTAGAGTTTATGTGAATGTAATGTTGTGCTATTAAATTTTTTTAAAATTAACTTACATTCACATTCAATTAAGTACCTCAAATTCTATTGCACAGCTTCCTTAAATTCAACATTACACCAGTGCAGATACATGTTCTTGTAATAGTCACTGCACACATGCAGCAGAAGAGTTCTACCACAGTACTTATTTATCAAAGTTAAAAAAGATGTCCAGGTCCACCACTGTCTGGCTTCCAAATGCACCTAACAAAAAGCCACTCTGGAAAAGAAAGCTTCAGTTCTACAGTGGGGTGAGATGTTTGTTCAGATACCCTTATGAAATTAAGAAATGGGAGCCCCTGCCCTTTAACAGCCTGGGCATTCCAACTCATTATGCCCCATAGAAGTCAGAACCCAGGGTTACCCCACCAGAGTACTGGCAGCCAAAGCCCTCCTGGAGGTCAAGCTAGCAGGACCCCAGGTACAGAGGACTCAAAGAATGAGAGAAATGAGAAGTTGACCAGGGGTTGGGGGAGGATATTTTTAAGAAGATCAAGTTAAAGTAGTATAATATTTTTATTTAAACCTAACCAAAAAAAAAAAAAAAAAAAAAACAGACATTGATAGGAGAAAAACTCAAAGAATCAAAAAACTTTCTAAAAGAGTTTACTGTTATTTATTATTCAAGTAACACTATCAACTTTTAGTGTACCAAAGGTTAAATAAACTTAGAGTACTCAGATATTTTTAACTATCTAGAAGAGTTCAATCTATAAAGTAAACTGGAATAGTTCTCATAAAGTACTGTTTTATTAAAACTTCACAATAAGATAATCTGTATTCATCATTACGTTACATTTGAAGGGTTTTTCCTAGGATATGTTAGTAATTTCATTGTAAACCTAAAAACAGCCTCTTTTTTTTTAACATTCAATTCAAAGACATTATTTATTGATAATACTGGAAAAGGACTTTTGCTACTCAGTAACATTTTCGTCACATACTCTTCTTTCTCATCAGAATAAAAAGACTTCATCACTCAGGAGCTATCCTGATAATGTAATTATTGTGATACACTATAAGTTGGAATTCTCTGGAAGCATAAAGAAGACTCCACCTGGCCTTCATGGCTCATAACCAGAAGAACAGCAAAAGGCCAGGGGCACTGGAAACTCTTCTGGTGCCACAAGTGCCCCATGGAAATTACTTGCAACTTCTGGAAGAGAAACAGAGACTGAAGCTAAAGAAATTCCACCTTCATAGGACATTTCTAGTGGCCAACATAAAAGGAAACATGGAGAAAAAACAAATTGCTGAATACTATGACCAAGTCTTTCAGTCCATTTTAAAAAATCATCCAGTGGAAGCAGTGACAGGGTTATTGCTCATCTACCCCACCTCTATGCTGCTCATCCTTGAATCCTCCAATGGGACTCTTCAGCAAATTCTTTTAGATTTTCTCAGCCATGAAAGGGAGGAAACCGAATTTTGGATTCAAAAAATCAAAATTGTCGTCATTTCTCATAACATCCCAACAAGGCTCTTCATGCAGTGGCATGTTTCAGCAGTAAGAGTGCCGATTATGTATCTTGATGACATGACCCAATCCCAGTCCCTGAAGGAGATCATCACAGATTTTCTTACCCGGACTCATAAACTGGCACTTCACCTTTTCAAGACCCTTAAAGGGGGTACTAAAGGACTAGATGATAATTTGCACCAAGCTGCACCTGATCTGCTCCCCTCAGAACAAATCATAAAGTATTTATGTAAATCTGAAGAACTCACAGACCCAGAAACTTTCCTAAGCATGTATAACAAACCCATAGATGTCACCTTGGATTCTGAGGTGGTGTGGCCAGCTCCTTCCAAATTCTAGGACTGAGAGAGAAAATGCAGTCTGATCTTTAAGAGAGGTGTGCTAGCTAAATAAAGGAAAACTACCTTTATTTTACCATTACTCCTCTTATTCTTCTTTTAATAAAAGGACACTACAATTTATCCAAAGGTGATATATTCATCTTTATAGAATATGTATCTACTTACTCTGATATTGAGCTCAATACGTTATTTTAAGGCAGATGAGTCTAAAAAAATTACAGTAGGTTTCATCATTTTTCGTGGAACAACTTAACTTTTAAAGACAAGGATAGACGCGAAAGGACAAATGTAACTTAGATTTTCATTTTTTCTGTCAACAGTTTACAAGCAGCCTCTACCATACAGCAGAAGTAGAGAATTCTGGTATAAATTTAGGGGTACAATACAGCATTTGAGTTATTTACAATCTAGGAGGCAAGCATGTATAAAACTAATTACAACATGACATGTGATGTCATATAATGGAATTTAATGAATTAGTATAGTAGGTGAAAGTAGAGAGGGATCTGAAAACACAGAGGAAATGCTAACATTCAGAAAACAAAACCTAACCTTTGAAAATAGCTCCAAAGCTCGTATATTCTGGCCTATATAATCAACAATATTGGGACCAATATAAAGTTAAAGAACACACTAGCTTTTTGAAGTGACTAGCAAATACTGTACATTATTAGATGGAATCACATTCTCTTATGCAACATTATTCATTGAGCACTTCCCTACATGATGGACATATACCAGACACTAGGGATATGGTTGGGTATTCAGAAGACGTATTTCCTGCATACTTTACAAGTGTATTTCTAAATAATTCCATGTAAGATAAACAAATTACTTTCTCAATTCACTTTCTATAAAGTAACTTTGCAGAAAATAAATAATAAATATTTAGTGGATCAGAAAGAACCCTGTTAGCAGGATGAATTTCATTTAGGAACTATTTTCTAAAGTTACCTAGTGAATAAAAGTTTACAAATGAAAAATATCGATATTAATGTATTGGAAATCATGGTGCTCTGTTTTTTCCACTCCAATACACAATCCCACATGTTCTTCTTGCAATACGCCCTTCATCTTACTCCTATTTCATTCTAAATTCCTTCCCTTAAAGTCTGCCTCAATCAACAGAGCACAGGAGAAAGGATTCCACATGATCTCTAAGGTTGACTCATAAAATTGCTATGAATGTGGTTCTGCTTCATCTGAACAATCTAAGCAGTTTCCAGGTGACACTCCAGGTCCCAGCCAACTGCCACTATCACAGACCCAGGTGATTCTGGACTCTGGACTTCCATTTAACCCTGGATTTCAAGTCAAGCTCAACGGGCACTGTGTGAGGTACATATGAGCTTTTTCCACTGAATCCTGTTGAAATTCTTGATCTCTGAACAACCTAAGTGACATCTTGCTTTAAGTCATTATGTTTTGGGTGGGGGATTATGCAGCAGCCTGGACTAATGTTCTACATGTATGTAAAGTATTTTTATCATTTATTATTCATTCCACTCATTTACATATCTAATACCCACTGGGTAGATGCTATGGCAGGCAGAAACACCAAAAGACACCCAGGATTTAAAAGCAGATTTACTTATGTCAATAGGCACTGATCAGGATCATTCCCAGAATATCAGGCCCCATCTCTGGTGGTTTAGGGTTTCTATGGGATAAGCAAGCAGGAAGTACAGAGGCAGAATGGTTTATCAATTGGGATTGGTTCTTATAACATGCATTAGAGCAAAGCTATGCATCACAGTGACCAGCTGTTTCTAAGAAACAAAGATAGCATGAACTGTAACCTGAACTCTTACTTGGGCAACTAACAAGCTGAAGTAAACTGGCTGAGTAGGGGGGGTTCCTTCTGCCCCACAGCTATTAATATTTATTTACTAGTGGGCCAGTCACTGTGTTAGTCACTTGATACACAAGCAGAAGTAAGATGTGTATCTACCATACTGCTTAGCATAGATCTCCTATTGGTCTGTGATAATTTCTGGTATTAGAAATACTGATAGAAAATGAATTTGTAAAGCCAAATAAAATTATTAACAATCAATTTCTTTTGGAAGAAGTCTTATGGAAAAAATTTCAACACTTACTGATTTAATTAGCACACTGTAATTTTAATGCAAAGAAATGAAGTCTTAGCTATGAAAATAACTAGAACATAAAGTGACTATAAATAAATTAAGCAACTTATTTTGTCATTTACTCTTTTTAGCAAACACACTCAAATGAATTTATTCAAATGAAAGTTAGCTCTCAGTCACTTTAGAAGGATTTATATTCATTCCAGTGATGGCACCATTGCAAGAATCATTTTATGACTTATTTATGGTAACTGCATGAAGGGAGTTTATAACCTTAAATCTTAAGTCTTAGATCTTAAATATTTTATATTTAATTTTTAAAAAGACAAAAAAAAACAATAAAAACAACACACAATTTCAAAACAAGATGACAGGAAATTGACAATGGTTGTTATATTGCATATTGTTATCTTCAAAGTAGTTGCTCAGATTACCGGGTACAGCCATGCAGAACAGATCAAATAATATAAGTACTAATGGTTCCTTTCAATGAACTAATAGAAATTAGTAGGACAATTGTTAGCTATCTTGTGTAAAAAGATATACATATCTTTTTTCCCCTTCTTTCTTTTCTCTTTTCCCCCATCTCAGTTCTTTTTGAGCAGTTTCTCTCCCTTTCACTATAACTATTGTATATTTTGGATCTTATTTACTCTTTCAGTTTCTTACACTAGGGAGACAATATGATGTTTACACATATGGGTCTGATTTATTTCACTTAGGAGTATGGTCACTAGTTGCATTCATTGACCTATAAAAGCCTCAAGTTTATCTTTCTTTATAGCTGAGTAGTACTCAATTATACCAAAATACATTTTTTTATCCATTCATTAGTTGATAGAAATTTGGGTTGTTTCCCAGATTACCTATGATAAATTGTGCTGCTATAAACATGGGTGCACATATATCACTGTGTTATGATGTTTTCATTTCTTCTGGGAAAATACCCAGAAGTGGAATAGCTGGGTCAAATGGAACCTCTAATCCTAGTTTCTTGAGGAATCTCCACACTGATTTCCACAGTGGCTGCACCAGTCTACACTCCCACAAATAGTGGAGAAGGGTTATTTTTTCCCCACAGCCCCTCCAGCATTTGTTATTGGTTGATTTTCTGATGATATCCATTCTTTCTGGAGTGAGATGGAATCTCAGTGTTGTTTTAATTTGCATTTCTCAAATGACTAAAGTTGTTGAACATTTTTTCATATATTTATTTGCCACTGTTTAGCGTACCTCACAGATCTAGAGAAAACATTAATAAAATTCATTCGGAACTAGCAAAGACCTGGAATAGCAAAGGCAATCCTGGCCAACATAGGCAAGGCAGGAGGCATCACAATCTCTGACTTAAAATTATACTACAAAGCTACTCTGGTAAAATCAGTATGTTACTGGCAAAAAAAAAAAAAAATTGACTTGATCAATGGAACAGATTAGAAGACACAGACATAGTTACAAAAACACTCAGCCACCTTGTCTTTGACAAAGGAGGCAAACATGTTCACTGGAAGATAGTCTCTTTAATGAATGGTGCTGGAAAAACTGGCTTTCCACATACTGAAAACTAAAACTATCCCATGTATATCACCATGCAATAAACTAAAATCAAAATGGATTAAAGATCTAAATATTGAAACAAAAACATGTTTAATTTTTATCACCAAATCATATATACTCCAACTCAATTATCATTAATATTCAATTTTCATTTGTAGAAATACTTGTTTTTAAATATTATACTCACTTGCAAAGAAACAATTATGGTTACTGAGCATATTAAAGAGGAAAATACTACCTCTAAGGAGAAGCACAAATTGTTTTGAGCAGAAGATGTATTACTGAGATACTGGTGTAGCTTACTGAAACAATGTTTAAAGGATACTCATTTAGCTATCTATGTTTTGTATATACTTGACATCATTCAGCATCCTATATTCATTCATACCTTACAAGTATAATTTAGTTTGATGAAGTCCAAAGATATGAATCATTAAACTTTAGAAAGTCTCATCAGGGAATTTTCAACACAATAAAAATTACAGCTTCCTTAAAATAAAACTTCAAATAAAGCCTGAGTTCAGAAGTTAAGGTGAAGAGAAAAACAAACAGTACTGTAAACAGACATTCAATATCTATGTTCACTATGATAGTGAACATATAATATATATAAACTCATTCACATAGACATTCAAATGGTGCAGGCAGACCCACTCTGAACCTTTGGTTTGTCTGTTTGTACTGGGCAATACACTGCCCTCACGCTCATTTCAGAGCTGAGTAAAGACTTTCAAAGATTATAGATTTCTTAAATAGTTGAAATAATATTTAAAAGGAAAAACTCTCCCAGGCTCAATTCTAAAAGGCTGCTACCTTCATGTTAACATAGGAAACATCTGTATTTTTTCATGGAGCATTATTATTTAACCCAAATAGATTTTAACATCTGTTAACTTTATTATAACTTTAAGCAACACCAAACCACATTTCAGTTCATTTAAACCTACCTATAGCAGTACTATACCCTTGGTTTCCCCAAGGAAGTAGAAATGAGATAGCCTACCACTTTATATAGCAAAATACTTTCAGATTACTTCACATCATATTAAATGATTTAATGTAGAATTAGAGTTCTCCCCCTTGTGGTCAATTATTTAAATTTCCAGATTACCTGCTGACAGGATTGATACAATACACATGCATAGATTTTAAGAAAATATGGATAGAACCCCCCAAAATACCTTTAATGTAACTACTTTACAGACTTTGTTCTGCAGATGAAAAGTCTGGGATCCCAAGACATTAAGATGTTTTGCCAAAAGCATGTGCCAATAATAAGTCTAAATTTACTTCACTGTATTTATTACAAATCTTGATTCATCTGTAAGTTAGATATTCTTTAAAAAATTATTTCTAAACTCATCTTTCCTCATTATTCTAGAATTTTAAAATTCTAAGTAGTCTTTTTAAATCCAAGAAAAATTTTAGATTAGCTGTCCCCAATGTTGACTTG